ATATACATTAAAAGGCTGACAGAACATGTTAATTCCTTAGCGAAGAACCTCGCATATCAAACCATACTTCCCGCCTAAAAAAAGATGAACGTCCTGCCATTCATTAAAATTCAATAGATTCAAGTAAATACCCCTCTCTTATATTTAGTTATCTCATAAAGTTAAATTGAATTCTAAATAATCCACCTCACACTCATTCTAGTGAAATTCAACACACCAATCTAAGTGAGGTCCGTGATATAAGGTTTACTTATTTCCTATTATATTATGCAATGTATAGTTAAAACAAAAATTTTAATATTATGTAATTAGTAATAAGATTTTACAACTTATTGTTATTCTCGTCTTAAAAGAAGATGCAATAAACATATGCAATAAACATATGTTTTAAAAAACAAAAAAAAGCCTCATTTATTTTCAGTGGGTCGTTTATGTAACTTTCTCACTTCGTTTTCTCGAACGATTTTCTCACTTTTGACAATTACTCACTAGAAGTGTTTATGTAACTGTGGTGAATTGTTTTCTCACTTTTTAAAGTAAAAGTGAATAAATTTAAATTTTTGGTACAAGTGCTATTTGCAAGCATTAAGCAACCTTTTGAAATTGTTTTATTTTCGTTCCATTTATTCAAAACACGTTCCATTTTCATCAGTTTCTCTCATCCCACCATAACGTTCTCGTGTGGTGAATTTTTCATGTTACATAAACAGCAAACTCGAAAGAAGTGAGAAAAAGCAAGTGAGAAATTTTCGAAAGAAATCATTCGAGTTAAATTCGAACGATTTACATAAACGAGCTACTGATCAACGTTTTCCGTTTTTTCATTTAATTGCATAAAGATTGAGGCTTAGCCCTACTTCATTCTTAATGTTTATTTATTATAAATAATTCAATTTCGAGTACAATAATTATACAATTGACAATCGAATGACAACCATTTTTTGTAAATAAAAATATTCTTAGCTTTTTACCAATTCTTCTGCCTGGCCAACTCATCTCATTTTCTATATTTTATTTGGTCATGTTTGCATGGCCAATTCATATTATTTTCAATATTGAATGGTGAATATGCAACCGCCACATCACTTCCATCTACACAGTAAAATGATCATATCATGGAAGCCATAGACGCTTTGAGTAAACAGGTTGCGGAGATAAAAAATGCACAAAGACGAAGCAGAACGAGATCTCAAACTTCAGATCGCAAGCGACGTCGTTCGCTCCGTACTGATGAAGTCCAATTTGTAAATACGTCTAGCCGCCTGTTCTATTATTTATAGAACATTAAGAATTAAGTAGGGCAAAGCCTATAATTGGTGTCTGGCAATTATTGCAACTTAGTCTGCGTACACACCGATTTGGTAAGATTTTATTATATTACCCGGCGAACGTTGTCTCCCCTTGCAATTAATTTTCCTTGCTCAGCAGAGTTGTAATATATGTTGTTATTCCAATATCAGTGTAGATAAAGAGATAGTCAGGTTTAACTCTGTAAGAAGCAATCCGTGTCTAGAATTAAAAGTAGTTTCCGTATATGTCAACTTAACTTTAAGCATTTAATGCGCAAATTATTTTGAATTTTTTTTTTCTTTTGAACTGCAAAAACCTCACATGCATTTATTATATTACAAATATTTTCATGTTATTTCAAATTCTTATAAGCACTACAATTCAAATGAAAAGGATTTTTTAATATTATATTAACAGTTTAATTATGGGCTACTATAATGTCACCTTAAAGTTAAATCATGAGAAATATTTTTTGTTAGGCCATTTGAAGCGTATATATATAGATCAGAAGGTTTTCCAATACGGTAACATGCAACATATACTTGCCCAAGCGAAAAACATGGATTTTCCAAATTCAGTCCACTTACTTTTAGTGTTTGACCTTGAGATTTATTAATTGTCATCGCAAATGCTAAACGAATTAGAAAATGCAATCGTTGGAATTGAATTGGAACATCGGTTGGTATAATTGGTATGCGTGGAAGCAATATATGGTATTTTCTCTCTGAATTTTCCACTTAATATTGTTGATTCAATTAAGTTCATCATAATTCTTTTTATAATTAATCTTGTTCCATTGCATACTTTTAGTGGGTTTAGATTGTGTAATAAAATGATTGGTGAACCAATTTTTAAAAGTAATTTGTGTGCTGGTAGTCCTGGCAAATCAAGCGAATTTAAGAACTTAGTGGGATAATTCACAATCTCGTTTTCATCTACCACTTTGTCGATGGACTTAATCGAAATTAAATTACTAGGCAGTATACCTTGAGTTTTGAAATTGATTTCATCGCAATCTAAGTTCTTGGCAGCCAGAATCGCTCTACTTTGAAGTCATTGATAATTCTATTAATTTTGATATATGTTTGGAAATACGCTTTCTATTAATTCCTCTTTCGAATTTATACTTCTACAAAAATATTCTGGCAATTTAATAAAATATATGGACACTTCGCCACAAAATAGATGATTGATTTCATCAGCATAGGTTGAACGTGGAATAACTGGCAATGTTTGTCTAAAATCACCTGCCAATAAAATAAAGCCACTCTAAAAAGTCTATCGTTGGCATTTAAATCTTTAAGTGTTCGATTTAATGCTTCCAATGAATACTTATGTGCCATTGTGCCAATGATGTGACATTTTTGAAGTACTTTAGCCATATTTAATTGTTTTTTTATATTGCAGAAATGCAATAAATAATTGCTTAATTTTAAATAAATATATAATAAAAAATTGGTGAAATTAAATATCATATGAAATTACTATTTCTTTCAAATACATAATGAAAAATATAATTTCATTTAAGTTTAACATTATTAACATAAATGCATTTATTAAAAAAAATATTTTGACCAATTTTCACTTTATTTCAATTAACATTTCGAATTTATCTGTCATTTCTGTTACTTCGTAAAAGTTCGAACAATATACACAAAAATACACAAAAATAAACAAAAAGAAAATCGGGAATTACGGAAACGGGAATTATTAAATTTATTATTTAAGAGCAGAGCATTTGAAGTGTGATATTATGTTTGTAGCATTTTTGCGTGAATTGACGCAAAACAAATATTTGATCAATAGTTGATTTGCCTGCTCTAAAGCCACATTGATATTCGCCGACTATTTCGCCTATCGTTTCTAAAAATTTGTCTTTCAGGATAGTAGACAAATTCTTATACATACCAACGAAATTAGTCTATAGTTCCCGCGTTCGAGTTTATTACCTTTTTATAGATTGGCCATATCAAACTTCTTTTTCATGTTTCTGGCATTTGTTCCTGCTGCCATATTTCACATATCAGAGAGTGCAATTTTTCTGCAATCTTATCATATATCGTTATGCGGTAGTGTTATTTTTAACTGATCCTTTACCCAGTTTAAGCACATTTATCGCCTTCTTAACGTCTCTTAATGTCTCTTTTATCTAATAGTTTAGTGCTAAGTCGGTGAAAATAATTTCTTTGTTGCAGTGGATCTATATGTAATAATAAAAACAACACTTTTTATTCAAAATTGCTGTAAAACTGGTACCTAAGCTCTCTTTTACGAAGAGCACAATTTTAAATAATCGTTTAGTTCTAAAGATATTTATTGAGCTATGCAATCACTGTTAAGTATTTGTTATTATAATAATAAGATCATTAATAAGACAAGCTTATGATTATAATAATCTTTAATTAGAAGAAAAATTTACATTAATTCCCAGTTCATTATATGATTCCCAGCCTTAATTAGATGAGAAAAAATATTTTACTATAAGATCAAAAACTATTATTTTATTACAATTAGTTTATTTGTTGATAGTATATTTAAAAAAATTAGAAATCAATACATACAATTAAGGCATAATTTTTATTAGAATTTATATAAATATGTGTACTCCAGTATTTCCAGTCTCAGTAAAGAAGTTTTCTTTTAAATCTGGCATCCCTTGTTTCAATGTTTCCTCAACGCATGCCACAATTTTTGGCGCCACAACTTTTGGGGAATATCAGTCGTATTTGGTTCGTGTAGTTTAATGGTGGTGGCTGAACACGTAAGGACTGAGTTTAGTTTTTAAAATAATTTCGGTTTTATTACCATAGACGTAAAAAGCGTAAGTAAATGTGTTTTTATAAAAAATATCTGATTTATGGTGTGCTAATAATTAAATTTTTAAAAATTTGTTTTGTTTTTATTGTTGCTATGAATTGTAAGCCATTTTAGTGGGTTATGTTTGGTTCGAACTGTTTGTACTGTATCGTTTGCTTTTATTTGTATAGTGTAAACCTCATTATTTTTATTTATTTAAAATAATTGCATATTTAATTTGATTTAATGTACAATGCGCAAATGACTGCATTCCCAATACTCAAATGCATGACGCCACACGAAACAATTAGTTTTTGTCTTGTATTGCATACTGTATTCGTATTGTTTCTAATTTGAATTTATTTTATTATTTGCTTTACACTTATCCGTAAAGATTGTCGATAAGAATGGTGAAACGTTTAAATTTTGGTCACAATTCCTGTAGAAATCCGTACCTTTCGCGATAAATTGTATGTAAAAAATTATCTTTATGGTTAATTTTATTTGGTTTTCTTATTTCGTATTAGTAATAATTATATTATTAATTTTGTAAAGAATTATAATAATACTAATATTTATAAGAATGTTTTTAACATTTATTTTTGCTAAACTTTAAACAGTTCATGAGTTTTTACCACATTTGAAAGTAAAATAAATTTTTATTAATTAAAATTATAGTTATTTATTAATATAAATTAAAATTAAATATAATATATAATGATAATATAATGATAATAATAATGATACAATCGGATATATCAAAAGTTTTTATTAAATATGGCAAAAGTTTTTTAATTAAATATTCAAAGTTTTTAATAAATCTGGCAAAAGGTTTTTTTATTAAATATTCAAATTTGTTTTTATTAAATCTGGCACCCTTTGTTTTAATGTTTCTGCAATGAATGCCAGAATATTTGGGAAATATCAATACCAGTCGTGTTTGATTTGGCGAGTGGACTGGTTAAGATTTTCTTGTTGAGTGGTAGTGGTGATCATTGTGAATTTTTAAATTATGTTTGAACAAGGTAAAGACACATAAATGTAGTGTAGCTTGTTTTATTAAAGGTGAACGGTAGTTAAATATTTTTATTTGTTTGAAATAAATATTACCATTAAATTAGTAATACCCAAGTAAACTGATTTTGAAGTAAATAAACGTTTTTGTATTTAAAATAAGAACAATTTAAATATGTGCTTCGTATTTTTTTTTTTAATTGGAAATACACCATAACATTTTCTTCAAGTTATACGTCTTTTAATTTCCATTTTGTTTTCCTTTTTTGTGTTTCTTTATGAACCATTAAATTTCTATGTGAACCAATTAAAAATAAGATTTTACAAATGGCAATTTAATGCGTAGTACGCAAATGGCTGCATGCACACATACACACTCACACGCATAAACCCTTACCAAACGGTATATTTTTGTCTTGCTCTGCGTAGTCTTTATGCATTGCATCTAACTTGAATTTATTGTGTTATGTGCCTCACACTTATCCGTAACATAGTAACATTTTTCAATATCAATTCCGAGTAAATGATTTGTTTTCAGTGAGTTTGTTTATTTATGTGTATGTTTTTAAATGAATATTTCTTTTTAACAATATGTGTATATTTTTATAGGAAATAAATATATTTAAATAAGTATAAGTATATTAAAATTGTAAACGCTGCCTCCTCTCCAATATTTTCTTTATTTTTTTTTTATATATATATTGACATTCTGTTGCAAGAATGAAGAAAAAGAAAAGAAAAGAAAGCGATAAAACAACGAAGCAAATGAATGAGGAGCGATTGAAATAATTGTCTTACATAGAAAAATGTAAATTAAATACCCACTCAAATATTTTTTAAAACTTTTTTGTTATTTAATGTTATTCTTATAATAAAATTAATATGATATTTTTCTATTTAAATTATTTCAGTTAAAATATGCTTAGAATTTTCCAAATCTGGTATAGTAAAAAAATGTTTGAAATCGGCGCTTGAGATGCTTGAACATAATTACATGTATTGCCACTGGATTACAACATATACTATACATTATGTGGGTCAAACAATATCACAGATTCTCATCACCACCCAATCGATTTCAGTAGTACACAATCCAAATTAATTTCTGTGACCAGAGATTAAAAGGGTAAATAGTACTTTTTTATAAAATAATTTTAAAAATAGTATTTATTTCCAATTTCTTTCTTAGACCTTAAGCGAAAAGTTTTATTGTCATTAACAAATAGCTTTAGACGTAATATATAAAGATAAAAGTGTTACCTTCTATAGCACATCTTCACTATGTTGATTTACATGGATCAATAACAAAAACTATTTATTTTCATCACTGATTTCTTCTTCACTACACAAATGGTGGTTCATTGATTAATCACCAATGTAGGGTGTTTATTTAGTCGGATGATATGGACTAATCCAGTGATGAATACTGTCGGATGAAATGGACTTACATTGAGTTCCAGGGGACTTAATACTAAAATATTTTTGGGATTTGGTCTAGTCAAAGGTACATTAAAAATATAATATATCATATATATTTGTAACTGCCATTGCTGGTATTATGAATAATTCATTAAATGCTTAAGTAAATAATAGGTCATGATGCGAGAACCTAAGTATTCATATCTGCCAAAAACTGAACTGTACTATTTCTATTATAAAATACTAAGCTGTTCAACAAGTTCCGGGAATAAAAATATAAAAATAGATATTTAGTTGTACAAATGAATTTTTTTCAATATAATTTCTGTCAATTTCAATATACTTAATTTAGTGATCGTTCAATTTACTGGTCTTTTCTCTGTAAGTCCGGTAAATCCGGTTAATGGATACTTCTCTACGATAGTTGTAACTCCGATTAATATAAAACCGTTTTCAATAGTATATTATTTTTAAGAATGAAAGGACTCAGAAGGCTGAATGTAGTGGGCTGAATGTAGCAATCAGGCTGACTACATTCCTTATTAAGATATAATATAAAATAGTATTATGAATACAATTTAAAATTCTTATTCAATTTTTTAAATTTTTTTGTTTAAAAAAAAATATTTTTTTCTTGTGAAGCAGTGTAATTATTATCATTTAACTATATGTTAACAATTTAGAGTATATATAGTATATTTTATTAAAATTATTGCCGAGAAGATTTACTAATATGAATGAACTTGTTCCAACAGAGTTACACAAAAAATGTACGTCGTGAATTCATCGAAATAAATGAAATCATAAATGCGTATACTGAAGTGTCAGTTCGACCAAATTTCATCTTGAGATGTTTCAATCTTTCAGCAAAAGACAACACGTAAGACGTTTACTTGATCAGATAACGTGTCAAATGCGTAAAGCTTCCATATTGAATCTCCAACAGACGGATAACAAAATATTACTGGAGATGAGCAAATATTTTCAATATTATGATTACTACATTTGGTGAATCGATATCCTGGATTAAAAATATATTGCATAACAGTTTGGACTGAATGTGAGCAGAAGTTAGGAAGTTTTGGTTATATAAATAGTAAGTATTTCGCTATAATTATTTTCACTATAATATAAGATAATGAATTTGAAAATGATAGTGAAGGTGGATTTGGATTATAAAGACAGTTAGTTTGCAAACGGTAAAATAAGTAATCTAGTAAGTTAGGGTAACAAATTAATTACACCCAACTCTGTTTTTACACGGTAGATTCGTTGCTCAGAAATCCGTGTAAAAAGAAACCGTGTATAAAAAGAGTTGGGTGTATTTAAATGGTTAGAATACGACGTTACGGCGTTCGCCAAAATTTACTCAGGTTTAGGATCGTTTCAGACCTTTGTTAAAATCTAAATACTTTCGGAAGAGTTGTTATAGCTAACTTAGATCTTCTAAAAGGTCAGTCTTTACGACTTATTGATATTTGGACTTCAGAATATTCAATGACACATAGTTTTTATTTTGAATTTTTTTTAAAAATAAGCTTTTAAAAACTCCTTATTTTAGGTTATGTTTAAGGATGAAGCTGATTTATGTTGCATTTGTAGCCTCTGATAATAAATTTCAGCTCTTCAGGTTTTAAACATTCCGCTCTCCTAGAAATTATGCTCTTTTATTTACAGATGATTTTTATGAACGTATATTTCTTATTTATAAGGAAATTAAACTTTTATTTCAATAAAAATTAAAAAATCTACTTGTCTATTGTCCATATTGCACTGAACAATATCTAACTAAAATGGAATGTGATATTATTAATTAATTTTTATTTTTTATTAGACCATGCTCCTGATGATGACTCTCAAAGAGAGTCGAAATATAGAATTATTTAATAAATATCAATTAAGGATTTTTTTATTATTTTTTTTTGTTTTTTAATTTTTATTGAAATAAAAGTGACCTATATCCAGCTAATAAATAAACAATAAAATCATTTTAAAAGGAAATTTTTAATAGTTGGAAAAGAGTTTCCGAAAAATATTAGTGCAATTCCTTCCTATGCATTATAGTTCAAAGCTTGACAATATTTCATCATCTTTTGTTTATTAGATGATGGTCGGTCGCAAAGGAGATACTGAGGAGGTCACCAATTATCAATATTGCTAATAATGCTAACTTTCTTTTAAAAGCAGTACAAAATTTTAAACCACTATTTAAGTACAGAAAATTGAAATCATTTCAATACCAGTAATTTACAAAATACCGCATAAATACCGATGTAAGATGTCTAGGATCATCTCACCGGAGAGGAGTAAAAACAGATAAGCTATTATCATTTTCTTAACAATATGTGCTAATATAATTAAGACAAAAATCTTATTTAAACAATACAAATTGCTTTTGTTGGCAAATAATACTACATTATAAAAGCTGTGCTAAAAATTTTTACGATTACTGCGGTTTTGATAATTATTTCCAAAAAAAAGTGTTAAAGGATCATTGGATAAATATTGAAGCCTAATATGATTTTGGTTTAAATTAAATTTTAATGTACCTTAAACCAATATATATACTAATGAATTTGTCCTGAATAATTGAATAATAGTTGTCGAATTATAAATTTTTCTTATTATCCAATATTTATCCAATTATTTTATATATACACAATTATCTACTAATTATTCAATTATCCTTAAAATATTTTATTATTATCTTATTATATATTTTTTTATACTAAATATTATATACTTGGTTTATAAACATCTACATACACATATATTGATCTAATTTTTTTTTAAATGCGTCTATAAATAATATTTATTTTTTTAACGCTTTTATAAGATAAAAGGTTTTCAGTGTAAAATTTTTTATTAGAACTTCAAAAAAATCGTAATATTGACGAAAGGTCAATAATTATATAATGTGACTGGTGAATTGACAAAATGATCGATTGATTAGTATTTTTGAGTTAAACAAATGTTTCTATGTTATCTGATTTTAGATCTTTTATCTTTTTAAATGTTATTATTGCTTTTCTATTGAATTTAAAGTAATTTTAAAGTATTATTTATCTATAATATTTTTTCGGTGATAAATGAAATGCTATGGCAGCTGTGACAGCACAAATGTAGTATTTAAAAAAGTGCAGAATTTTGGGTGATATTTCCTTAGTTCCCATGTGCTTATACAGACTGCCTAGTTTTGGTTTATTAATATTTGAGCAGTACTATAATTTAGCATATTTTAAAATTTATCCCAAAATTATATTGGCGTTATTTTTTCTTCTTTCTCTATTTTACTTTTCTTTCCCAATGAATTAGAGAGTTATATTTATTTTAATATATATTCGTTTGCCTACCAACTTTCCTAAGAAGCAAATTAATACTAATTCAGTTAATATTTATAATTATGAAAAAAAAATTGAGACAGACATGATTTTCCGACTAATAATGAAACAGGGATAATTATGAACTAACATAATTCGACTCGGAATTATGTTATTTCTCAGTTAATTTCTTTGATCTTGACCTATTATGGATCTTAGGTAATATAACTAAGCTTAGCATAAAGCTTTACATTATTGTTAAAATATTAAAAATTGTTTTTCATGATTTTTACGCTTACACATCTTTAATGTTTTGAATTCATTTTATTCTGTTTGCATTCTACGTCTTCTATAATATTGATGGAACCATAGGTTTTTGTAATAAATCGGTACAGTTTTCGTTTTAGGCAGCAATTATATATGTAATTGTGTTGTCACAAATACTTATGTAATTGCATTGTTAAATATAGCTGTAATTGGAGATAATTGCGTATATATCTGCATGTAAATGCTGTAAGACCTCGCTTTCCGTCGTAGATACGTTCCAATATATCGCGACTCAAATTGAAACAACGCAAAGTGAATTGCTATTTTCTATTGGAAATCATATAAACATCGAAGATACGTTACTGTATTTTTCATTCAATCCTTAAATGTTAAAAAAAGAAGAATATTTAAATAACAAAACAAAAGTAAAACTTTATTAATTAATTTAAAAATATAAAAAAGACTAGAAATTCAACCAAAAATTAAAAATTGATACAAAGAATAAATAAATTATAAAATTATTTGCACTTCTTTCGCTATCAGGATCGTTTTTTGAAAAAATGTCTATTTGCTTCCTCAATTAGATTCATTGCTTTAGAAATTTGCTGTGAAGTTAAATTTTGACGCTTACTTATATCTAGGAAGCTGTCTTATTCGTTAGCGATTTCCAAATCCAGTTGCATCAATTCCTCATTAGACATTTCTTGGTTATGAGCTAGCAATTCATTTATGTCAACTTCATCCATCCTTTCAATATTGGACTCCTTTGATACATTAGATTAGATTATGCTGGCAGGCCAAAAAGGCCACGCGTAGACCACTAAGGTCCATTGCGATACCAGATCAGAGTCTTGTTTTAGCGATTGTATGCATCACTTAGGATGCGCGTTTCATTAGCAAAATTTATTAAGATTCCAACAGAAACCTCAGGTATGTACTCCAGTCCTGCAAAACTGAAAGCTCCCAAGTATTTTTATCGAGTTCTCGAGAGAGCCCCATGACATCTGTCCGTATCGTGAATACAGAATGTCCTCGGCCATTTTGTTGATTAATAGGATGTAGTTTTGTCCCTCGCCTTCTTTAGCTGGCTTGAGGACCTTTAACACCTTCCAATCGCTTGTTGGCACATCCGGATTCTGTCGTTGTAAGAGACGAAGAGCATCCTCTGGCTTCACCACTCGAGGTAAAAGAACCTTCGCTTTGGGCAAAGACGGGATATCTTTCCTGTCCACTACCTCCAAAGATGCCCCTTCCCATAGTCCTTGGAGCGTTTTAACTGCCTTCCTTAACTAGTTCAGGATAGAGTCGTCTTTACACTTCAGTAATTTTACTCCGTTGAACCAGCCAGCGCCATCAAATGATGGCATTGGAGCGCTCATTTTGGCGAACATAGCATCTAATAGCTTCATTTCCACTATTTTCCACCTAGTTTCTACCATTTGACCCTGTGGATCACTGCGGTCATTAAGTGCCACAATCAAGCGTCGCTTGGCCACTATCTCCGCCATTGTTAGTTTAGATGTAGACGCTTCCTGTTCTTTTGGATCATTGGCTTTCGTCTTTTTTGTTGCTGCTTTAGATGTGGACGCTTCCGGCCTTTTAGTAGTATCGGCTTTCCAAAAGGACCTTCGCTTTCCGTTAAACGCTGCCTTTTACATGCCATATCCTCCTCGATTCGATTTGCAAATTTGGAATCCGAGGGTTCACACCACCTTTTACCTGTGAAAAAGGCTCGGCCTTTCTCTATCTCCTCTTTTGCCCCGACTAGCCTGTCCTTCTCTTCCTTCGACAGGCTAGTCTGGGCCTGTCTCCGAGGCGAGCACAGAGTTTTATCGCAGCCTTATATCTGGATTTGGCTTTCAACCCCTCCTTATTTGGTTCAGCCCTAGGCCTACGAATGGCCTTAGCAGCTTCCCCCGGAGAACGAAGAAAAGCTTCCTCCTCAATTGTGTTGACACTAGCAACGCTCTCGTGATCCGAGTCTACAGAGACTATGGCATCACTGCGTTGTATTGTGTTTTTTTTTGAAATTGCGCCTTTGTGACCCAAGTCTACAGGAACTTTGGCATCACTGCGCTGTTGTTTGGCAGTAGTAGTGCAACTGCTGGAACCTGCTCCGATCCCAGCAGAGGTGCAGTCACTGGCGACGCGGCTTATAAAATCACCGCGCCCGCCGGTGGTAGCAACTACGCCTCCCACCGACGTTTGGGCTGATATCCCAGCCCGATTTTCTTCATTCTTCAACTCCATTTGGATTTTTATGGAAAAACCTACCATTTTGCATTTTTTTGTCTACTGCCAGACACCTCAAAGTTATGACTAGGGAAGGGGCTCACCTGCACTGACCCTGTAGATACCACGACCACTGCACATGAGACTCTTCCTTCATCTTAGCTAGACACATCACAGTCCTTGACAAGCCGCATCATGTTCCTCAGCTATAACATCCGAGAGCTTCATGAATCGAATTGCCAAAAAAATGGATGATGCCCATTGCCCGGTCAGCACCCACGGGGAGGGTTTACAACGAGGATTTTCGCCGACCGGACTCCTTTGATAAGTTAGCAAGAATTCTCTGAATAATAATAAAAAAAAAAAAAACATCGCATTTCGCATTCGCAAAACAACGCAATTCGAATAAACAACGACTCACGGCGAAAAGAAGTCTTAATTCAGTAACGACGCAACTTCGAAAAAAAGACAAAGTGAAGCGACTCAAAGTGAGGTCTTACTGTACTTAAATATTTTCATCTAATTGTGATTGTATTTCTATACAAATAAGTACGTATTTTAATAGAAATGCTTTCGTATTTGAATGCAAATAATAATATAATTATTATAATTTAATATAATATAATATTATTATAATAAATAATAATAATATAATTGAATTCAATTAATTATATTTTTAAATTGAATTACTTCTCTATTCAAACCCAAACAGATTTATATTTGGGTTCTTATGTTGCTTTATATAAAAAAACAATAACAGTTGTTTGTTATAAAATTTTACTAACTTTATTATAATATATTTGCTTTTAAAACTATAATATTACTGAAAAGACTCTTAAATAATTATAATATAAAAGAAATATTATTTTATAATTTTCCACAACATACTTTTAATTTTTATTGGAATTTATATCTAATGGTTTCTTATGATTGCTTACTTTTATTGTGGTGACAATTGTAATACAAAAAAAACAAAACAAAACTATTTAACAATAAAACAATACAGCAACAATATATAAAAGAATAAATATATAACATACAAGTTTTTATCTGTCAGAATAAAAACTATTGACATTGCCATCTCTGTTTTTATTCTTCAATGTATATTGTCAATAATATCCAATTTAAAAACAATTTATTATCAGTTCCAAGTAGGAAGTATACGTATATGAGTATCAAAAAAAAGAGTTTTCAAAGATTTTAGGCAAAAATATAGTTCAGGCTCTAAACAAATTTTAGTTATTAAAGCAAAATGTGGCATATCATCGTCATCAAAATCATTCAATCAGTCAATATAACCATATTAATCAAACAGTGGGGCAGTGGTAAATTATAATTTTAATCAACATTTTTATGAGGCAAGGTAAATTTACTGCTCTTCTCTTCTTCTTCAATTTGGGAGCCTTAATTAAGTAAAAAGTTTGACATTCTAAACTGATATTTAGTAAACAATGTTTTTAAAAGATTAACTTGTATTCCAATTTGAGGCACACTTTTTAAGTCGCTGATGAAACGCTTCGAAACGTATCGAAGAAATATGTTTAAGAGGACTAGTATTTTCTCTAACTTTGCCATAGTGAATAAGATTAAAGATAATAGTTTCATGGTTTGATAGCTGTAAAAATAAATTATTATGCTCAGTTACTAAATTTGCTAATAAATCGTGGCAGTTTCTGGAGACAATATTTGAATTACAACATATACCAATAATAAGTTCTATTCTTGGCATGGATGTACAACATCTCCA